GGGCTCTTTTGCATAGTTGGCAGAGGTGGCGACAGCTTGCAAGGCTCAGAGGCTGGTGCTGCATGCTTGGGCAGCTGCTCATGGTCAGCTGAAGCTCAGCTCAACAGCAAATGAAGGTGATCAGGAGGCTGTAGCTTTTTTTTATCAGCCTGGGACTGACGGTGGCTTGCAAACTCCTTCCAGTTTGTGGTTGTCTTTATGCTTCTGAGAGATCAGAATGGATAATGCGATTTCAAACCGTGTCCCTGCAGTTCTCTGTAGAGAGGGATTTACAGCGGGGGCACAGAGCTAGTCTCTGTTCCCTGAGAGTTACAGGAACTGTTTTTTCCATTCTTTGTAAACATACTGTTCAAAGTCATTCTTTATGCTAACCTGTTGCACTGCTTTGCACACCTTGTATTTTCATGGTTTGTCCCTCCCATTGACAATCTGAAGTTTATTATTTTTCCTCATGAGTTTTAACAGTTTTCACATATAATATTACTTCATTTTCAAAATGACAGCTTTGCATAGGATTCTTTTTCTGCCCTGAAAGGTACAAGTGTCTCTTTCAACTTTTTCCTAATTGAAACCTGTTATATGTGTAACTTCTGCCCCGCTTACAGACCTACTAGCTGCTCCAGCATTTCTTGAGAAATATAATGATGCAGAGGGAAGGAAGAGGAATGAGCCAACATGAGCTGGGAATAACCTTTGTTTCTCTGAGACAGCTACAAGGTAGTATCAAGGTCCTTGGGAAGGTTTGTGAAAATATTCTGGCTGCTACACCAGAGACGGTATAGGAAGAGCATTAGGTCACAAAATACTGGTTACTCCTTATGAAAGGATTGGAACAGTGGTGTCTCCTAAGGGGCTTAGTTCTGTGCTGGTGCTGTAAGGTCCTGTGAAATCTCAGTCCAACAGTTTTTTTTCCTGGCCATTTAGATCTACAGCCAGCTTTTGATCCCTGAGGTAGCATCACCACTGTGCGAGTTGCGCATCTAGATTTCAGTGGAGACCCTTATGCACTGTTGTGAGCCCAGCTTTCAGAGGTAGATTCAGATTGGGTGCTGGCACTTGTATTGCGTGTCAGAACATGTTTAGAAGCCAAAATGCCAAATGATATCTGTGCTTTAGGTACTTCTGAAAGGTAGCCCTTCCGATCAGATGCATTTGTTCACCAACAGCCTTTTAGGCCCATGCACAAAGGCACAGTCCTGTTGACACACAGCTGTCTGACGGGTGAGCACATGTTAACATATGTATACAAATTTAAGGTCTCTGATGCTGATGTGCTGCAGAGTGCACGCTTGTGATTCATTACAGAACTGAAACGTAACCATATATTTTCCCTTGGCAAAAGGCTGTAGGATTTTGTAATTTACAGGACTAGTAAATCCTGTTTGAAAGATCCCAGAGACTTGCACAGAATTCCTAAAAAGCTACCGTTTCCTCTGAACTTCCAATATTTGGAGGTAAAGGGCTCGTTGTGCTATTCCTCTGATTATTCCTGCACTCCACAGTACAGTTTCTTCAGAGATATGCTTGCATCTGGTCTGGCTCCTGATCCTTAAACTTTCTTGCAGAAAGCACCAAACAAGGAGTACCAGGGAGAGAACAGACCTGTTTAGCAGAAGTGTCACAGTAACTGCATCTGGTTCATTTGGTTTCTTCAATGTGCTGTGCTGCCCAATGCTATCTCCTTTACTTGTCCTCAATGAATGTGGGCAGAAATTAGGAATGTTTTGTAGCTTTGTGTCTGTTGATGACTGGTCAGATCAAAGACGTCCAGAAGAGTGCATAAGTGCTTCAGCCGGGCTTGGAAGAGGACTCAGCTGAGGGAATGGGATGAGATGAGACCATTGCTGGAGGAAGTGATGAAGGTTTCTGGCACTTAGCATTAGTTGCAAGAGCCAGGGCTGCCACCTCTAGTCTCTGTTAACAGTACTTTCTGTTGCAAGAGCACTGATCTTGAGACCATCGGTATCTGAGTTGTTCCGTTGTCTCAGAAAAGAAAGGGAGAGGGAAGAAATGGAGTAGGGTGAAGCTGGTGGTGACACATTTCAGAAGTGTTTAGTGCCTTATTTGAGACATAGGTGGCAAGGGCTGGCAGAAAATTGTTTCCCTTAGCCCTTCATCTATATGTGCTTCTTCACTGGAGTATGTCTGCTCATCAGGTTCCTCTGTTCTAGACGCTGCGTTAGAGAGAAATGATTGCTTCATCTTTTGTCACTTGGCCAGTCCTCATTTCTAAAACTGATAGAGTTGAGACAGACAGTGGGAGGCAGCACAGCAGATTATGTCAAGAAGACACTGTTCCCTCTTGCAGTTATGGCTTGCATCGCCCTTCTACATTTTTAGTTGATGTAGTTCCGATTACGAATCGGAAGATGTGAACCTCTAATAACATGATTATTAGAACAAAACTCGACAAGATTTTTAGTCACTTGAAAACAATCCTCATGTATTTCTGTGAATAGCCTGGTCATTTCTGGCCTAGTCATACAGCCTCTGACTTGTGTGCCTGTGGGGAAAATGCTAGTTTAGGTTTCTTTACCTAGCACCAGAGTGCTGCTGTTTGTAGTTAGGTCAGTTTTCCACAGCCCGCAACTGTTACTGCATCTACAAAACTAAAAAATGCTGTGTCTTAGGAGCAGAGAAGACAAGAGGCCTCTCCTGTCTGGCCCATTCTGTTTTGGAAAGGCTCGAGGCTGGTGCACGAAGTAGGAACGTGTGGGTTGGTTTTACAGCACAAAGATAGTGGCTGATAGGCCTTACCCCTCGCTGTGTCCTGGGTGTGCACATGGATTTATACTCCCCTCCCTGTTGGTAGCTGCAGACTTCTCAGACATTGCCAGGAAGTCTACAGTCTCTTAGAAACTCCCCTTTGGGCTCCAGATGTCCTGCTGACAGCAAGTTTCGCTCTTGCAATGTCAGTCATGGTTGTGCAGATGACACAGTTTTGAAATCCCATCTGGCTGTACCCTCCTCTTGCTTTCTGGAGTACATCGCAGTTGTGGCTGGGATGCAGCAAGACTGGGATGCTGAAGTGAAGGCAGTGGGGCCTGAGCACTGTCACTCAGTCCCTCAGCTGGGGGATCAAACTCTTCCTTTGAAAAATTACTGCGGTACTGCTGCTGGTGATTCATTCTGCACAATAATTAATGTTTGAGTGAGTCTTTTGCGTGGTTTAAAGGAATGTGGAGATGCACTGAGGCAGTACACTTAGCTTTCTTGTTTCGTGCCCAAACATGTCCAGAGACATCTGATATCGGCATCACTGAGGAGCTTACATGGGACTAGGAATACAAGTCAGGTTTGGGTTTGTTTCAGTGAAGTTCCTATCTCCATCTGATGCTCTGTGCCTCTCCACAAGGCTTTCGGTTGCTGCAGGATTTACTGTGGAGGCTTTTTTAAAAAATTGATTGTGATAGCCACGCTGCTCCTTTGAGAACTGTGAGTCTCTTTGAATTGGTTGCAAATCACATCAGTTAGGTTGTAGTCTCCTACAACAGAACTTCTTCCTTTCTATGGCTTTGCGTTTCATATTTGCTGCCACTGCTTTTATCCTAGATAGTCTGTTTCTCCAGCGATTCAGTGGCTGCATGCACAAAAGGGGAGGGGGCTCTGAATTCCTTACAGTCTGAGGCTGTGTTTACAAAGGTTATGTGAATTAATATGCCCTGTGTTTTTTAACACCTGCATCTATTATCTGCCACAGTGTAATGGAAGATGGCAGGAGCTCAGCAGTCTTGACAGTATGACTGCTCTTATACTTGATGACTGTTTCGGAGTATTGGGAGGGGTGTGGTTTGTGGAAGTGTTGCTTTCATCTTTGCCTTTGGCATTCTAAGAAAAGTTGCATGATCTGGTCCAAATACCCAGGAGGGAAGAAAGGACTTGGGACTGTGGTCCTCTGCCTCTTCCCAGTCAGCACTGCAGTGTGCGAGGCATGCCCCTGGTTACCTGATGCTTTTGTATCTGGGCTGCTGCACAGCTTTGTCACCTCCTGTCTTTCAGAGAGTGGCAGGCTTCCAGTCCTGAACTCAATCACTCAAGTTAAACTGGTACAGGCCTTTAACATAGTTGCTTTTTAAATCAGTTAATCCCTTTAGCTTGCGTTGGTAAACCATTGAGTTAAGATCAACTGATCAAATGCATGTTCAATCAGCTTAGGGGTGTTTACATTAGCAGTTTGCATCGGTTTCACTAAGTCTGTGCAGTCAAACGAGTAAGGTCATTTTCTGTGCAAGTGGGGCTTTTTGGAAAAAGTGATTGGATTCGCTTTTCAGGTTCTGTAGTAGAGTTAGTGCTGTTTAATAAAGATGCTTTTCAGTATGGTTTCCAGATTTCCAGAAAAGGCTATCCTCGGAAGGTTGGTGGTGAATCTATTTCCTGAGGGTGGTGTAATGGTCATTTTCCGTAGGTATGACGCTGGCTTTCAATTTCTTGCTGTAGGTGAGGGGAGGATTTGTCACCCTCATCTTTGATACATCATTGATCTTTGGCACAGCCTTTGGCTACTGATATTAACAGGGGAATTCGGTGTTTTGTAGTCGTTGCTAAATAATTGCATCAAAATTGTCTTTTACAATTTTCTATGTGCTCTGCAGTACATGCCACAAAATTGAGGGCGGCTAGCAGCAATGAGCTGTTTGTTACTGGAAGCTTTAACAAAGGCCACCGGTTGTAAAGTCTGGAATTTCCTTCTTATACGCTTGGAGAGGTCAGGGCTGAAGTCCCCTAGTGGTGGTAGCAGTAATGAAGACTTGTCCTGCTTTGATAAATATTTTGGCAATAAAAAGACAGTTTTGAGCCTGGGTGTGCTAACCTTGTACCTTTTACCACAGTTTGTTTAAAATAATGTGTTTCAAGAGCATAAACATTGATAAAACAAAGTTAACTGTCCCTTTTAATAAATAAGGAAACAAAATCTTGAAGCTTGCTTGTGATGCAGCTTGTAATAGATTTTGGGAGTTAATAGCCTCAGTAGTTGAACTCTTGCCTCTTTTGCATCTGTTTTTTTTCCACAGGTACTTCCTTTCTGACTTTCAGTAGCAGAGAGAAACTGAAGACCTTGAAGAAGGACGCCTGCGGCCCCTTGCTTGGCAGTAACAATGCTGCAGCGATGAGATTATAGTGAGCCCTTCCTGTGTGGCCTCCATGGGTCCCACTCAACTCAGCACACAGGATCATGGGAAGAGGGTGGCAAGTGTATTTGAGATGGAGGAGGAAGGGCTTTCGCTCTTCCCTGGCTCAGAGAACCCCCCTGAGCATGCAGGTATGGAAAAATTCTTACTAAATCATGCAAGCTAAAGGCTATCCATTCTTTCAGCTGAAAGCAGAATTGATACTTGGCAAAATTTTAGGGTGAGTTCTGCTGTCCTCGAGACACTCAGAGAATGTCTATGAATAGAATCAGTTATTGATAGTTGAAAATGACTGGGTTTATCCAGGTGATAAATGTGTTGAATATTTTGCGTATTTGACCTTCTATAGGCTAGGTCCATGGCAATAAAATGAATTTCTTTTTGTTAGGCTTATCAAAAGCTGCTGAACAATAAAGCTTTGCTATTGGTGACAATCCAACAAGGATGAGTGATGCAAAGAAATAATAGGTTCTTGCAGATTCATGTAATGGAAAGACAGTAGAAGTTTCCTCTACACATTTCTTTTTCCAGAATGTATGTATCCAAAATAATGAAGCATATTGTGCCACGATATTCTGAAGCTACATGGCATAAAAAAGAAAATGGGCAGCAGAATCAAACTTAGAGTAATCTGCCACGAAGAACTGAGGTTAAAAGAGCATCAGGAAATAGAATTGAGATTTTGTAGTTATAATTGCTGCTGACACACACAATCCTACCCTTTCAAACTGTACGAAGATGTAGTATAACATCTCTGGACAGGTAACAGGAAAAAAAGGAAAGCACAAGTGAGGTGTCCAGCATAGTATCAGCAACTTAATGAAAATATGACAAATAAATGTATTTGTTGAACAGTGAGGCAATGGGCAATCCCTGATACAAAGAAGAGGTGATCTGAACATTGAACTAGGACTCATCAGTAGAGTAGAAACAAAGAGAATAATTGAAAGGTGAAGAGATATTACCCAATAAAAGTCCTTAAAACGGATTTGAGGACGGGAAAAGAAAACAATTGATAAATGCCGTACAAAAATGCAAGGAAAAAAAGCCACAAAATGTGGAAAAACATTAAAGAAGGAGGACCCTAATGAGAGCTAAAGGTGCAGAGATGGCATTCACGCTTCATACATCTCAAATTATTTCTGTGTTATCTTTGACTACAGAAAATGACAATAATAAGCTATATAACTAAAATAGTTAATGTTCAGAGATGGAAAATAACTTACGTAGATCAAAGAATTTGCCTATCTCCATAAAACAGTCATAGGAATGATAATCAGATGTTTATGTAACTTCTTAAAGACAGCTAAGAAATCTACAAGACAGACAGATCCATCTTGTGGAAGTCATCGGATTACTCTGCTGTCCCTCAGAAACATATGAACATCATTTGAGGCTTCCGCAGAGTTGTTATACCAGTTAACATATATGCAATGGCAGACTAAGTAATTTGAAAGAACTGTAGGCATTGCATAGTTTTCTCTCGGTAATAGATTGTGTGAAGAGAAATATTGTAGAACAAGAGAGGGGAATATCAGAGACTTAACCTTTCTGATGACATTTTCCTGCTGTCCAATCTGGAATGAGGAGTGCAGGCCAAAATGAGTGACCTCCAGACCTCTAAAGTCAATGGGATTGAAAATCAACACTAAGATACTGAAGACTGTGAAAACCAATATGTAGTGAAGAACACTAATAATAATTCCTAAGGCTGACCTAAAACTACCATTTCAGGAACTCGAGCAGCATAGTAAGTGTAACTGAGAGTAAAGATAGAAGTATTAGAACCCTATGTACGAAAATGAGACATGCCATTGTAACCCTGATGCTGATCAGGAAATGCAGCAGCCTTGTCCTGCAAACCAATTGCTATGAATTAATTCCAGTGTAAAGGCTTTCCAGGCATATCTAAACATAATCTGGAGACTTATCAAGACGTGCTGTTTGTAATCTTTATGAACAGCTGCCATAGAAGAATCTATAATATCTGACATAAAGAAAAATACTTGCACTATGAGCTGTGCAGAAGGACACGTCAGATGTCAACATGGCTAGAATTAAATGGAATGAAAAGAGAGATGGCCAATAGGGAGGGAATACACAAATAACATAGGCAAGCATTTGGCTGGAATGCTTAAGGTGAGATGCGTTGGAGTAGACCAAAGATGTTTTCAGAATGCACAGCCAATGACAAGATTAAGATCCATCAGAATGACATAGGAAGAACTGGGAGCTGCTGCACAAGACCATCTGAAATGTGAGGCAGTAGTGAAGGCCCTGTGTTTCAGATGGAATAACGAAGTTTAGTAAATGAACTGTCAGTATGAGAGTGCTTCAGTTTTAGGAGTGGGGAGCACTCTTCTTGAAGAAGGAATGATGGCTTCAGGGCTCCAAAGATTCACAGAGCTTGTGCAGCGTGCTGCTTGCCTGCTTATTGCCCCTAACTCCACAAAGTTGCTGTCTTCTGTCTTGACAGTTTCCCCAAGTGTTCTAGTTACAGGCATTGCCTACTCAGTCTGCTTTTTGGACGGTTATGGTTTCAGCACTGGTTTTCTGTGACTGTTT